ACCTCTATCTATATCTATCTATATCTGTCTTCTATCATCTAACATCCTATCTATCCATATTTTCTATCATCTATATCTTTTATCTACCTATCTACTTACCATCTATCTATCCTGGGGAACTTTCACTATCGTCCCTTTTAGGGAACCTCAACCTCGTCCCTTTCAGGGAACCTCAACCGCATCCCTTATCCGGGGAGCCTCAACCACATCCCTTATCCGGAGAGCTTCAACTATCATCCCTTTTAGGGAGCTTTCACCTTGTCTTTTTTTTTTTTTTCCTAGGAATTTTTTGCTAGCACTTATTATTTCATTTTTACTTACAACTCCGGAGCATCAGGGTTCCCCGTACGGGCCACCATTTGTCGCGAACATCAGGGTCCCTGTACGGGCCACCATTTGTCGTAAGCCGGGACTCCGTCCAGCAGAGTCCCGGAAAGATGACACAGACACCAAGGTGATGTTCAAGCTTCTGTTTCTCTTTCTTTCTTTATTCTCTCTTATTCTTTCTCATATTCTCTTCACTATCTCACCCACTATGATGCTGCTTCGTTCGTAGTTCTCCTATATCTCTCACTTCATCCTCTCTCACTTCATCCTCTCTCACATGCTGTCTCCTATGATGCTGTCTCCTATGATGCTGTCTCTGTCTCCCCTGTCTGTGTCTCTGTCTGTCTCTGTCCTTATGATGCTGTGTTCCCCCTATTGCACACTTCAGCTCTTTATATAGCGTTTCCAACAGCCCTCCCTCTAGCCAGGACCAATCAGGGCACACACACATGCAGCGGGCAGGCAGAGTGTAGCTCATTAGCCACGTAGCAAGATCATCAGGCTGGCAGCACCTGTTTTTGGGCTCACCATACTTCAGAGTTGGGGTAAACAAGCGGGATTCACGAGCCTTGGCAATCAGCCAAGAGTTGAAGTAAACAGCACGAGGTTTGGCAGCCAGCCAGGGCTCCATCTTTTGCTGGCTCGGCTGTGCTCGCTTCCCACATAGATAGATGATAGATAAATAGATAGATAGAAGATAGAGATAGATTGATAGATAGATGATAGATAAATAGATAGATAGATGATAGATAGGTAGGTAGATAGATAGATAGATGATAGAGATAGATTGATAGATGATAGATAGATAGATGATAGATACATAGATGATACATAGATGATAGATAGATGATGATGATAGATAGATAGAGAGAGATTGATAGATAGATGATAGGTAGATGATTGATAGATAGATAGATAGAGAGAGAGATTGATAGGTAGATGATAGATAGATGATAGAGATAGATAGATGATAGATAGATATAGAGAGATAGATAGATGATAGATAGATATTAAAACACATGTAGTTTTCATATTATATATAGATATATACATGATAGATAGGTAGATGATAGATAGATAGTAGATAGATAGATGATAGATATGATAGGTGATAGGTGATTAGATAGATAGGTAGATAGATAGATAGATAGATGATAGATGATAGATAGGTGATTAGATAGATAGATAGATAGATAGATAGATAGATAGATGATAGATGATAGATAGGTGATAGATGATAGAAGATGAGAGAGAGAGAGAGAGAGAGAGAGAGAGAGAGAGAGAAACGATAAAATCGGCCATAATACTATTTCTGGTACTGAAGACAGGAACATTCAAGATTATGGACAGCTATTCATTTCCAGAATCTCAAAATCTAAATAACCCTCCCTGTTAACATCTTTGCAGTTACCAGTCAGTCATGCAGAAGCAAACCAGTCACATAAATGCTTCCTGGAATATTAAATCAGCTTAGACCTGACTTGTTAATAAACCTTAGGAAGTTATCTGAACAGTCCCATGACCAAGTATCTGGAAGCAAAGCATCAAAACCAGAGGACTCTGATTAGCAGGAGAGAGATATCTCACAGATGTTATCTCAGAAAGATTGATGACGCATCAAAGAATGAAGGTAACTTAAGTCTTTCCTGGTTTAATTTGTTGTTATTGTTTGTTTGTTCATTTGTTTTGTTTCTGTTTGGGGGGGTTGTGTGTGTGTGTGTGTGTGTATGTGTGTGTGTGTTGATTTGGTTTCTGTGGGTTAGATTTAACCATTATCTCTGTGGCTTCAAAGCTTTGTAGAGGACTCCACCTGTCATTGTTTCAGTGATAAAAAATTTCGTGAATTTGGGGCTGGAAAGATGGCCCAGTGGTTAAGAACACTGGTTGCTCTTGCAGAAGACCAGGGTTCGAATCCCAGCACCCACATGCCAGCTCACAACTGTCTGTAACTCCAATCCCAGGAGATCCAACAGCCTCTTCTGACCTCCATGGGCATTGCACAACACGGTACACTTACCTACATGCAGGCAATACACACATACACATAAAATAAAAATAATAAAAATTTTTATGAATTCACAATTTTTATTCAGCATTTTTCACTCATTTGATTTTTACACTTTGCACTTTCTCCAATTATCTATTCTTTTAGTAAAAATATGATTCACTAGTACAGTTTGAGGGTGTTTCAGGCAAGCACGCCTGCTGATACACATACACCACACACACACACACACACACACACACACACACACACACACAGTGAAGGAACTACTTAAGAAGCAATGAGATCCTGTCTTCTAGGATACCTGTAATGACACAGACAGACTGGTAATTTGAACTTCTAAATCCCTTCAGCATTCCTTGGTTCTCAAGTACACAGCCTTCACCTGTCTTAAGAAAGTACCTCTTACTGCATAAAACCTTTCACTGACTTCAACTGTACCAGTAAAGGAAACTTCACCACCGTAAATCCCATTTCTAGGTTCTTCTTAGAAGTTAAATTCTAATTCCTAGGGGAAAATTGAAAACATTTTGCCTTTGGAGGAGAAAATTCACGCAATGAAGTGCTGCAGCAACTCGACAGGGACCTCAACAGAGAAGGGACCAGTCATCAGGTGCTGACATCACCTAAGATTGAGGATTGAGTATGCCCTATTGGGTCCCACAGTGATGGTTACCCACCAAGCTAAGACACAGATGTTCCCTGGCATATCTCAGAGGTAAGGAACCTTAGGACACCGGGACTTAGAAATATGAGAGAAAATAGTTTACAGAATTCACATATTCCACCCCCCCACCCCCCCGCTCAGAAGACACTTAACTGTGAAAGTGAAGAAAATACCAACATCTTTGAAGCCTTCTGACAACTGTAATCTCTAGATCAGAGAAGACTGTAGGGGATGTTAAAACAGAAAATATGTTCTTGATTTTTAGGACGATGGAGTTGTGAAGTGGAAACAGTGGACACTGAGGCAAAGTGAGCACAACTACCAGAATCTGAAAAGCCACACAGCTAAATGAAACATTTTCACCTACAGGAATCCTAGGAACTGATCAAAGCTTGTAGGAACGACAGGGCGGGCAGCCTGTAAAAGGAAACCGGAGCTCTGGAGGGGGGGTTGTGCAGATGATCTTCAGTGCACCCACAGTACTGACAAAGCCTTGGACACTAACCAAAATGAGAGAAGACCCAAATTAATAAAATTAGACATGAAGAGGGTTACTGATGGAATCCAAAGGCTCATTAAGGAATACTTTGAAAATGTATACTCCAAAATAGTAGAAAATGTAGAAAAAAATGAATTCCTAGACACACAATACCTACCAAAATTAATTCAAGAGGATATAAAAACTTAAACACACCAAAACAAGCAATGAAAGAGAAACAGTAATTAAGAGTTCCCCCTACAAAGAAAAGCTGGATCGAGTCACTCACAAATTCTATCGGACCTTTAAAGAGGGGCTAACTCCCCTGCTCTTCAACCCATTCCATAAAATACCAAAAAGGAGCTGGGTGTGATGGCACATGCTTTTAATCCCAGAACAAGTGGACCTCCGTGAGGAGACCAGTCTGGTCTACACAGCAAGTTCCAGGCCAGCTGGGGCTACAGGGACACCCTTTCTCCAAAAAAAAAAAAAAAAAAAAAAAAATGAAGAAAGGAAAAGAACACTACCAAACTCATTCTCCAAAGACAACATCACCCTGATACTAAAACTAGTTAAGGACACAACAGAGAAACCTCTAGATCTCTTTCCCCAGTAAACACAAATGCAAAAATCGTGAATGAAATTTTTGCAAATTAGGGTTGGCAAGATGGCTGGGTGGGTAAGGGCACTTGCTACCAAACCTGATGAACTGAGTTCAATCCCTTGAACCCACGGAGTAGAAAGAGAACCAACTCCCTCAAAAGCAAATTCTGACTTCCATGTACATGCTCTCTCTCTCTCTCTCTCTCTCTCTCTCTCTCTCTCTCTCACACACACACACACACACACACAGAGAACATGTAAAAAAAAATTTAAAGGCCTTTAAAACTATTCCTTTTCCCTTAGTAAAATACATTTTTTACTGAGCTTTTAAATTTTTAGACATTTCCCACTCAAATCCAGACCCCCTCCCCCATCCATGCCTCCCCTACCCTTCCACCAAACCCTATGCACTCTGCCATACATGCTGAGTTCTATTCATTCAGGTGTTTGTACCCAAATGCCCTTCTGTGTAAACGCATCCACTGGAGTCTAGTCGGCCCATCCAGTGGTCTTATGGAAGTCATACTCTCCCTCACCCAGCAGCAACCAATCTCAAATAGTTCTCCATCTAGTGCTGACCCGCCACCTATTTCTCACCTCCCTTTGGGCCCTTATTTAATTGAGCTGACATGGGTCCAGCATTCGACACCACCGCTGCTGAAGGCTCACATGACCAAGCCTCCACCTCCCTGTGTTCATGAAGCAGCCCTGGCTCTTACAATCCTTCTGCCTCCTCTTCCACAATGGTCCTGAGCCCCGGTGGATGAGGTTCCACACAGGAGTCCCACCCTACATTCTGCAGTCTCTTATTCTCCAAAACTTGGCCAGTTGTGACCATCAGTGTGTATCATACTCTAATGTACACAGAAGCCTCCCTAGTGATTGAGGGGTGCGTTGGCCCTCTCTCTACCCTTATTCTGCTATGTTCCACAGGAGCCTTGGTTTTAGACATTCGACTGCAGGTGTGTCACCTAGTCCTGGGCATCTCCCAGGTGTATGTTCTCTATGCCTGACCAGTCATGCAACTCTGCAGTAGCCTCCACCTGTTGCAAAAAGAAAGGTCTTTGATGAGTGCTGTATGGCATGTTTATCACTTCATGGAAGTCTCTTCTATCTGGCCCTGCATTCCCTGCTAAGAAGTTCCCAGGTACACATATGCACTAATGTTCAGACACTCTGCATTTCTCACAGGGTTTCTAGGGCATCACTTTCCCTCTAGGTTTCCTGCCTTCCCCTCCCCAGATTCACTCATCTCCACTCTTTTGTCCCCCATCCAGCCTCCCTCCTCCCTCCCTAGTCACAGTGCCCCTGCCCCC